TTGATTTATAGCATGGGCTAAACTTAAAATCCAATTAGAATTAAAAGAATAATGTTATTTGCAGTCCCACTCGTCTAATAAAAGTCAACAATAACGGCTAATTTTTCAATTTTAATCCGATTTTAATCTATACCGAACACGCCCTAACTAAGTTTGATGCATGTGATAATGACCATGGAGAATCATATTTTATATACAAATATTATTATTGTTTCTGGAGAAGTATAATATCATTAATATCAATATTCTAAAAGAATATGATATCGACATTTGTGAAAATTTGAAACTTAAGCCCATGTTTGAACCACATTAAAATTTGTATTCTCATTCTTCTACTTGTTTTCAACCATACATTCTCCAATAAAATAAATTTTTTATCACATCAATAATTTTTCCTTATTTTTCAACCACACATTGTCCATCAATCTATTATTTCAAAATACATTCTTCCAAATGTGACTTAAACACATGTGTTATATTCTAGAAGAATATTATATTGCTATTAAAATTTTGTAATTTCAATTGTTAAATTTCTTAAAGACGTAAAAGTTGAGTATGATAATATTGATGCTCTTGAAAATGAATTTCATTGAAATTGTCATAATATCTGAAAGAGAGAAGAAAGAAAGGTCGAAGTTAATATTAGTACTGTTGGAACAAACATTATTTGAACCAGAAGATCATAACTATGTATTTTATTGTTTGGCATAGTTGGTTAAACCATCGCCTAACCAACAACGATGAAAAAATTTATTAAGAATTTAAATAGATATTAATTGAAGAATTAGAAAATTTTTCAATCCAATGAATTCATATATGATGCTTGTTCTATTTATTGAAAATTGGTTGTTGACCATCATTAGATAAAGTTTGAATTAATTTTTATAATTTTGGAAGTTAATTAGGGTGATATACAAGACCGCATCACCCTCCAAGTTGATCATTTAGATATAATGTGTATCGTATAAATAAATTTACTAGATGACTACATGATTTTTGCAACTTGAAGTTTGCGAATTTACTATACAAGTTTTAAAATTATGAGTATAGTTTTTAGATTATACTATCAAGAAAGTGTAGCATGTCAATGCCAATTGAGTCTATATTATAAACTTTAGACAAATATTGATTGGGATGATGATAAATAATTTAATATAATTGATTGTTAAATGCTTTCAATTAATTTCTTAACAACTACTATTGAGAATAAAAAAACTTTTCTTTTTGTTTAGGGAATATTATTAAACATTATGCCAACATCAAAGTTCTCTGTGTTATAATTGGCTTATGATTCATAGCTTAATATTTTTCATGTAATGAGTTTTGAAAGTGTAATATATGTATAATTGCTCCACCTTAGTGCTTTATATGAATATTAAAAAATGTTGAGAATACAAGTTTAGTTTGAATCCTTATAAACTATTTTTTAAGCCACAACAGGTGATATTTTATAGCGCGGTTTGGTGGTTGTCAATTTGATTGAATTGTTTTCTCAGCATTAGGAGAGAAATTAGTAGCTGAAAATAAGACATGATGCATCATATTGTGCTCTTTATATCCTGTCACTTTGACAATATAAAAGGATGACTCAATTATGAGATGCATTTACACACATAAGATGATTCATCTCATATTTATGTCTTAGAATAAAAATCATTAGCATTATATAAAT